CTCTCTCTCTCTCTCTCTCTCTCTCTCTCTCTCTCTCTCTCTCTCTCTCTCTCTCTCTCTCTCTCTCTCCACACACATTCACAGAGCTGTATTCCTAGCAATGTAGCAATGCCTGAATTAGCACCGTTGTCCATGCCAGGCGAGCACGCATCCAGGCAGCAGAGCCCGAGGAAAGTACTTCTGCTAATATTCAACGGGAAACAGTTCAAATACGAGCTAAAAACAAAAGAACAATGCTCCATCATCTCTCACACACACACACACACACACACACACACACACACACACACACACACACACACACACACACACACACACACACACACACACACACACACACACACACACACAACTTGTTCCTAAGCTCCAAGGCAGAAACTCGCTTATGAATATTCCTCGACTTTCCTTCAGACTTTTAAAATCAAAACTAAAAAGGGTGATTGAAAAAGATATCAATTGGATTCCAGCTCGTATTTCTTTTCAAATGTTTCGTTGCCTTTTCTTAAATAAACCCCGCCCCTTCTTCTCTTTCTGATACGTACAAAAGCGTCGATTGTACTCATACCGCAGGAAGTAACACAGTGCATTTCTCACGCGCAAAACTCTTTGACAATCATCGGTAACAAGTGTCCTCTCCTTCAGGAGGCTTGGCAAAACAACCACACATATATAAAACAGGAACAATTCAGAATTTAAAACATTTTAACATTTTGTAACTGCTAATGGTCTTTTTTAAGGTTTTAGTGTTTAAAAAAGTGGGGGAAGTCGAAGGGAAAAGGTTTGAATCGAGCCAATATTAGTTTCTCTGCAAAAACACACTGCAGCTCTTTTAGCTGGTAACTCAATTTCCCAGCATGCCTGGCGTGGGTTAAAAAGGTTCTATGGGCTAGTGCGGAGGTCAGGAAGATCATAAACTGTGCCAATATACAAATCAATATTCATTTCAACCTCTGACCTCATCAATCCCGTGCTCTTTAGTGACAAAACAAAGAAAAAACAGATATATAAAAACCCCTCTGTACTCACACTGACTCCACGCTGCGGTCCGGATTCTTCTCCACGCATACATTCAATATCAAAAAACAACAGTGTTACCGGAGTTTAGGGAAGGAACTGGACTCCCCCGACCCGCCCTCCCCAGGGAATGTCTGATTATGGTAAGAAAAAGGGCCTCAGTGACAGAACACACTTTTAAAAACATAACAAAATAAAAAGGCAAAAAACAATCTGGAAAGGTGGCAGAGGGGAGAAAGGGCAAAGGGGGGTTCACCTCTTCTCTCTGCCACCTTTCTCTAAGTCTTTCCATCTCTCAAGGAAGGAGGGACAACCCAAAGTGATGCATTCTGGGCCGTTAAGGGGGACACACACACAAAGAGGGGAAAGCAGAAGCGGGAGAGGTGGAGAAGAAGAAGAAGAAATAAATCTCCCCTAAAAAAAACAAAATGGCGACCGTAACAACCGCCATTTCCCACTCGTCGTCGTCGTCGTCAGTCTGTCCTCCATCTGTCACTCAAAACAAAGTGCTCCCGTCTCCTCCTCCCACCTGAAGGCTGTCCGCTTGCGTAGCTCCGCCTCCTGCTTCAATGTGATTGGCTGCCGCCGCCGCGACTGCTTCTAAGGAGGCGGGGTCAAAGCCAGGCTCCGCCCCCAGCGCGTCGGCCTCCATCTTCACGCTGTCGGCCAGGAAGGCGGAGTAGGCGTCGCTGTCGGCCATCAGCAGCTTCAGTTTGGGGATCCAGCTCTTTCGCACCACGCGCCGGGCGTTGGTGCACATGTCGGCCGCGATGGCGTTCATCTCGCTCTCCTTGAAGCTCGGAGCGAAGTTCTGGCAGTAGACTGGAGGAAGAGGGGGGAAAAAGAACTCGTAAGATAATGATAAACGAACAGAAAAGGCAAGTGGATAGAGAGGTGTTTTGAAATAGGGCTGCACACCATGTGTATATTGCTGAAAAGAACTATGAACAGATTGATGTCACTCATGTAAAGATGCAATGTAGAATATGCTGTGACAATGTTTGACACTAAATGCCAAGAACAAAAAAAATTGGATTGAAAAAAAACTAAGATCTATACTAAAAAAAATATATATTATTTATTCCGTAGAATACATTTTCTAGGCCGGGACATTTCTGCAGCACCTTCATCCTTAATTCAGATATGATAAGGCTTTTAAAACGTATCGCGCTTCCTGCAATTTTAATATTGGAATAATCCTTTTTCATTTCATTTCGTTTTCGTTTAATTGACCATGACAGTTCAAAGCTGCTAACTTTGCATGCTGACAGCTCAAAAATCTGACTGAGATGTGTGTGTGTGTGTGTGTGTGTGTGTGTGTGTGTGTGTGTGTGTGTGTGTGTGTGTGTGTGTGTGTGTGTGTGTGTGTGTGTGTGTGTGTGTGTGTGTGTGTCTCACATTTGACAGCGTGCAGCACTCTGTTGTCCAGGGGTTTCCGGCTGGGGTCGTTGGTTGAAGAGCGGATGCCGGTTCCACAGCTGTTAGCCAGAGTGCTCCTGAGCAGGGGAAGAATAACAGATAGAAAAAGGTACATATTTAAAATATTACACAGATTGTTTTGAATACTTCTAAAAACATGCCCATTCTGTGAGAACAGAGATACACAATTTGTTCAAAGCCCAGATTTCCAGAGCTCAGCAGGTTGTGAGCAGACATTGATTCAGAGCCGGATGTGTTGACTCTCACCGAGGTTCAGTCTATAATTCACCGCAGCTTATATAGTGCCCTCTCTACCTCTGCCAACCAGGGGATGTTCTGTTGGCATGTTTTTTCTTTGTCAGCAGATTTACAAGGAACTCTTTTACTGGAACTTGGTAGAAGGTTGTATCACGGACCATAAGGACGAACATATTACCTTTTGGAGCAGATCAGAGTAACGGGGCCACTACACATATCATGTTTTATTTTTGATAACATTCAGAGAAATGGGGAAAATGTTCTGCATTCATGTGTAAGGGTCCAAGGGGCGGGACATCTCTAAGCGGTTGACCAATCACAACAGAGCCGGCCAGCTAACCAATCAGAGCAGACTGAGCTCTGGTTTCAGACAGAGGGTGAAAAGAGGTGCTGCAGCACAGGCAGTATGAGAACAATAAAGAGCTTTTTGAACATTAGAGCATGGAGACATGTAGAGACACTACATACTGATATACACCTGAACATCAGCAGGAGAGGACTCTTTAAAGTAGAGACACTACATACTGATATACACCTGAACATCAGCAGGAGAGGACTCTTTAAAGTAGAGACACTACATACTGATATACACCTGAACATCAGCAGGAGAGGACTCTTTAAAGTAGAGACACTACATACTGATATACACCTGAACATCAGCAGGAGAGGACTCTTTAAAG